AGGCTGCCTGAAGGTAGCTGCACAGGGCTGGCTGAGGTGTCAGGGATCTAGCCCAGGCTAGCTGAGGTCCACGGCCAAACCACACATAGCACCCTCATCCATCATGGGGTACCTAGAAGGTACCTAGGGATCTGAGCCTTCCTGCTGTCTCTGACCACTCAATACCAGGTCCCAGGGATCAAGCCCTGAGTTGGAAAAGGTGTCTGCGGTACCCAGGATGCCCAAAGTACCCAGTCTTTGTTGAAAAATAAACATCCCCATGGAGCGGATCAAAAGGGACACACACCACACACAGCCAGAGGGAAAATACCCCTGTCACCTTTTGATGTTAAATCTGAGGGGCCAGGGTAGCTCTTCCCTTCCGACAGGCTGTGGCGCTGGACAGCAGGCCTGACCAAATGAGTGCTGTCCCATTACAAATATGGCTGCCAGGCCTCAAGTTCAGCAACTATGGAAGTCCGACGCTCCCATCTGCCCAAGTTCTAGCTGGGGAGGACACCCTAGGATCCAGTGCCACAGCAGCTCACCCGGTGGGACAGAGAGAAGTTAGGGTGAGTACAACCTCTGGGGCTTGAGGTCCGTGACTGAAGTAGCTGATGCCTGAGAAGGGTCACACCACAGGCAGCTGCAGGGTAGGGCTGGAGAACACAGGAGCAAGTTGAGGGGCAGAGGCCGCTCCTCTTGGACGGCTGTAGGAGCAGCTGCTTGAGTAAGACAGAGAGGACTTCTTCCCCTTCAAGCTGAACCCCAGGTGCTCTCAGCTGTCCAAACCTGTCCAAACCAGTCTTGAAGCCCTGGAGTTACGGCGGTTCTGTCTCACGGTGCTTGTGGTACTGCTCGGGCTCACGTGGAGTTCTCAGCGGCAGGTGTCAGAGGTCACTGGTCTAGGGACCTCTTGAACAGCCGAGTGCCAGGGCCCACGGAAGCCCATCATCCCTTGAGGCTGACCACTGGCTAATGAATTATAACTTACCCAGGCAAAGTGCTCATGCCTATTAATTCCAGCAGTCAGGAGTCTGAGGCAGGATCACTTAAAGTTCAAGGCCAGCCTGAACTACACTGAGATCTTGTCTCAAAAAAACAAAAACAGAGCCGGGGATTTAGCTGAGTGGCACTGCGACCACCATGCAAGTGCAAAGTCCTGAGTTTTGATCTCTCGTACAAAAAACCAAACCCAAAAAACACCTCACGCAGCTCTGGCACCAGCCTAGATTTGAGTGCTATCTGCAGTGAACACTCTGACATTTTGCTTCTGAGCACTGAGGGCAGCTAGGATAGCTTGGGGAGTCCTCCCCACCTTCCCAGGTACTCCTTTACTGCGGTGACACTGTACAACACACACAATGCAGGAAGTGTGGAGGGACGAGTAAGGAGAAAGCAGTGGAGGAGTTGGAGGAAAGAGCACAGGAACTCTTCCCTGTCTCCTGGTCTTCTAACAGGCGGCAGTGAGCTCCCAAATGGGACACAGACCAACGGGGCAGTGTCACCCTCTGGTGGCCACTGAGGGCACATGCACTGCAATCAATGGAGGCTGGCATGAGGCACTGAGGGGCTCTCCGGTGGGCAGATCAGTTCCAGTGGGAGGCTGCCCGGCCAGTGCCAGGCTGTGGTTTAGGAGGCAGGTGGACGTAGCCTTTTGGGCTTGGAACTGGATTTTTACCGCTCCAGCAGCCGGCCAGCTGGCAGGCCGGATGGGGGGAGGGCCCACTGCCCTCACAGCTGTGGTGACACAGCCCTTCCCACACCAGTTACCCACCTCCTAGGAGCTGCTCAGAGAACAGAGGGGTGTTTGAAAAATGAATGCTATCTCATCGATCAAGGTCCAGCCGTTTGCCAAGGTATGTACACATTTTATTTAAAAAAGTTTACAGTTTTCATTATACACAACTATTAAGAGGTTATAGTCAGAGGCGGCATTTGTCCTGGTGACAGACGTGCCCACTAGATCATCACAATGCAAGGAAAGAGGTGGAAGGGAGGAGATGGGGCAAGGAAAACGTCAGCGGTAAAAAGCTTCGATTTCAACTCAGGGCTGGTAAGTCCCTTTGATCTCTTCAAGTATCACACGGTATGTACCAAATACAATCAGTAAATAATGGCCATTTCTTCCCAAGCTCACAGCCAAGTATTTGCTAAATGAAGAGCCCTTCCTCACGAGAGGGAAAGCTGCACACCTGAGCCTCTGCTCCATGAGGCCTGCTGGGGCCTCCAGGAAGTGGGAACACGGATTCAGAAGTCCAAGAAATGAAGTTCCTGTGCCCAAGTGGAAACGATGTGATCTCCCACCACAAGGCTGTGAATCCAACTTTTATAAGTTCACACTAAAACACAGGAGGGAGACATGCCACTTAAAACCAAGCACTACTTCCCAGACATGCGTCTGGAAACCTGAGCCATGGAGGCTGGTGGAGGACTGGTCTGCCAGGAGTCCAGCCAACCCCACAGGAGGGGAAAAAGCAAGCATCCGGCCAGACCAAGGAGGGTTTCCGGGAGCAGTGGGTCGGTGGGAGGCTGCTCAGGAGCCTGGATCAGCCAGTTGGCAATCAGAACAGCTTTTGAAGTGGATAAAAACAGTAACAGAGAGATTATATGGCAACTTCTGACAGTTCTCTCATTGGTATAAAATGCTGGCTGAAACTGCAGAGTAACCTCAAGGAAGGCGCTAAGACTGAGAACAAAAAAGCCAAGACACCACTGCTGCTCACTGTCCCGTGATGGGCTGGCTATCGGGCTGCCGCCTGCAGCCGCCTTGCTTGCCTGTGTTTGGCAAGAGCTCGAGCTCAGGCATTAGAATGGGAACATGGCATGGCTCGTGCTGGTAAACCACAAGGTAGGCTTTCAAACAGGCTGATTACCAAGGCCGGGGAAACTGGCAGCAGCAGCTCTGACCATCCATTACCACCTGGGGCTGAGTTCACCTCTCTAGTGCTCTGAAGGCTTGTTAGGAAGGGACACACTGACAGCTCAGAAGGGCCTTGGGGTCACAACAGCTCCTGCTGCAGACTATGGGGGCCCAGAGTCCCAACAAGCCTCCTCCCAGCTCCTCTGAGCCTCCGAGTAGTTTCCTCTTCCAACCTTGTGCAGGAACAGGGGACAGAAAATCAGCATTAGAAGAGATACTGTCCAACCTACAAAAGGAAAAGGCCCAGAGAGCCCAAGCATGTTGGTCAGGGTTAATGCCTTGAAGGGAGACCCGCACACAACAGCAGGGAAGGGTGTGACTCAGGCAGCAAGCCCAGGAGTTCCTGGTGCTAACACAGAAGCCTAATTACACCTTTACCACATGCACTCGGGAGCCACACGACCTGTTGCTTCACCCCGATTTCCACATGGGCCCTGCACCTCAGCCAGTATTGCCAGGGCTCTGGAAAGAGGACAAGCTGAGGGCTTTTCATTGGAGAAAGTGTGTTTCTGTGAAGGCAGTGCTGTGGCACTGTTCATGGACCTCCCCTATATTCCGTTCTACTCTTTCTGGACAAGATCAAAAGCAATTATCTGGACTTTTTTTGAGGGGGGCAATCAGAACACTATCGTTTATGCAATATTGAAAAAATACAATTTTTTATTGTTTGAACTCAAATCACCACCCAGCACTTCAAGCCTACCCTAAGTAGCACCTAACAATAAAGTTTACAGAACAAGCAGACTGAATGTGGCAGGGAAGCAAGTCGGACAGCGCCAGCAGAGACCCTCCCGCCCCCAAAGCAATGAAGACAGCGCGCTAGGTCAAAGCACACCATTACATTTACAGTTACTACTACCCTTCCAACAACCACGAATGCTAGCGCTAACTCGGTATAGTTAACTAACCACAGCCTTACAGAACTGCACTTTTCAAAAAAGAAATCCTCTTGCTTCGTGCCCGTAATTAATATAAGTAAATTCTTTGTCTTTTATTTAGGAAAATAATCATGCTAAAAGCAAGTTGTACTTTTTCAAACAAAAGATTGATTGTGCTTTCTGAATTAAAAAAAAAAAAAAAGATTAGGTATCTTCCAACCTCACTGACTTTTAAATCTTGTGGAAACAGCACTTCTAAACTAAAAACACATCAAAAAGAATCCCAGGGAAACATTCAAAAGTTGTCTTTAGACGGTCTTAGGATTGGCTAATTCTGCTATTGTCCTACTGGTTGTGTGTGTGGGGGGGAAGAAAATACAGAGCTCCTGTTTGAAACTTCTCCAAATCCCCCTCCAGAGTCAGTGGGCAACACTCAGATTTGAAAGAAACTCCATGGTAACCTGGATGCAGGGTTAGCTGAGCAAACACTGGATCGACAGGCATTTTAAACAGTTAGACTTGCTCTTAAACACACAGGACAGAGTGTCCTTCACGAACTGTTGTCCTACATCACATTCCAAAAGCCCTCTTTTCTAGCCAGTCATTCTCTGAAGAAAGATGTTTTTCGCAATGTTGAGCCACTTTGGGTACAAGAATGTTCATTTATTTGTTCCAGTTGTTTTTCATTTCAAATTGAGAATGTGCGTTGGGTCTGAAATACCTATATCCTACTCCCTACAGGCGGACGATGACAGGGCTGCTGCCAGGAGGGAAACCAAGGCCTAACACGGAGGAGCCCAGGGCCTCGAAGCTACCAGGTCAGTCTTTTCACATCTAGTGGTCCACTGAGCGGCATGTCCAGGGAGATCACTCTTAGCACTCAAAGATCACACGTGTAACCAACCTAAGCACAATTCACACAAATTGAAAAAAACCAAAACCAAAAACTCCATTCATTTTCATTTAGTCCAGGCAATGGTCTTGAGCTGGTCCAACACTAGAATAAGACGGGACTTTGCATGTTTTTTGGATGAGAAGAAATTATCTTCCAGTCACTTTTTGTCTCCTGCCCTCTCAAAAAAACCCCCAAAAACCTAAAAAAAAAAAAAAAAAAAAAAAAATCTGGATCACAAGCTGTC